CAGGCAGGCAGGCAGAGGCAGGCAGGCAGGCAGAGGCAGGCAGGCAGAGACAGGCAGGCAGAGACAGGCAGACAGACAGACAGGCAGACAGACAGACAGGCAGACAAACAGACAGGCAGACAGACAGACAGACAAACACCCAGACCGACCGGGACAGACTATTGACATCGTGCGTGTGTTCTTCCGTGTGTCCTGCCCGAACAGACGCAGACCGACCCAGACAGACCAGACCCAGACAGATCTAGACCCAGACAGACCCAGACAGATCTAGACCCAGACAGACCCAGACAGACAGCCAGCCAGGCAGGCAGACAGACAGACAGACCGACCGAGACAGACTATTCACATCGTGCGTGTTTCTTCCGCGTGTCCTGCCCGAACAGACGCACACACACTCCGTGCGGGCGGCTTCGTGCGCGAAGCGCTGTGAATAGAAACAACTCACAAGCAGCAAAAGCTGGATGAGTCTGTATTGCCAGTCATTGGAAAGGGTTACCGGATGGGTCATTTTCATGGGGTCAATCGGGTAAATCTATGTAACCCTATATAGCAACCATTCCAGTCCAATTCCATCATCGAACGACCAACGCAGGTTTTCATCTCCGTGTCTCTTGCGTCACACTCTCTGCGCGTCGGTCCACCACAACACCACGAAACCCCAAACGGCAACGCTCCGACCGGTGAACCCGTCCCCACACCAAGCGCCACACCAAACGGCCAGGTCCGGACTGGCGACGTCCTGGTCAGCAGTTGTTCCACCAAACTCTGCGTGGCCAACACCTGCCGACCGGGCGACCGATCGGGTAGCGGTCGGGTTTCAGTGGAGGTGAGGGACACACCTGGAAGAACATGGGGAGGGTAAGGAGTATAAGGAAAGCATTTTGCAGTAGTAAAGGTCACTGTAAGTCTTGTAAGTACGAGTAGGTGTTGTTGACTGGTTGGTACTTGGGGTGCATCAAGATCTTTCGCCTATCCCAACACAACACCCCCAAGCAGGCTTGGTCAGGAGTGGTAGCATATTATTAGGGAAGGGACCTCGTATGTTCCAGTCCGAAATGTGCTGGGCTGGGGCTGCCTCGATATAGTGGTCTCCAAAGAAACTGGAAACACAGTCCAAGAGTCCAACAATTCTTCATACCTATTGCTCCAACTACTGGAAGATTCAGACTTGAATCAGCTTGTCATAGACTAACATCGCAAGTTCCAAACGAATGGAATAAAGCTGCACCCAGCTGCCGAGCTGCGATCACTGTGATGACTCCTTTTGGTGACCTGCGACTCCAACACCCAACGACACCGCATCCTGATCCTCTGGCTGCCAGCGGGATTGGGACATGGCCCCCAGCCTCAGAAGAGCGAGAGGTCAAGTGATGGTCAATCGGACCCGTCACGTGAGGTATCCAACTGGGATAGTCTATACCCTAGGGATCCAGTCGTACCGAACCTCAGGTACGGTGATTGGAGACACTGTTATGTAGGTGCCAGGAGGGTCCAGTCGTACCTTCTGAGAAGGTACGACTGGATCCCTAGGGTATATAGGTGCTTCAACCTCTGGTCGCGGCCAAGAAAACACCCGACTTGGAGGGCCTTTACACCAGGCTGAAATGTCCCCCAACACTGCCTTTGTTAGTCGACGAATGTTGACTACATGAGGGCCCAGTTGAAAAAGGGTTCATGGAGGCCATAATTTTTGTCCAGTCCCATGGAGTGTCGGGGCGGGAACTTGTGGGAACTTGGGCCTGGATAGTCAGCCGACGGTTGGCTACAATGAAACTGTTGTCGCTCACCAACGCTGAATTCCTCTGAATATCATGAGATGTCAAGAAACATGATTTTTGGTCGTCCAGGCGCCTCAAAAAAGGTGACCATGCTCCGTAGCTTGTTTCTCAGGCAAACAAGTGCATCGCTACTAGTAACAAGGGCATTACTACTAGGAACAAGAAGCTACTAGTAGCAAATGGCATTACTAGCTAGTAGTAGCAAGAAGCTACTAGTATCAAGGGAGTTCATGCCAGTTCACGTGGGGCCAGGGGAATCCAAGACGCAAACACCCAAAAAGACGGGACTCTCCTACATTGAACCCTTTTTAACCACCACAACTGATCGGTATACTATATATGCAGGTGACCGCCCGCATGACAATGACACTGGAACAACTGTGATTGAAAAACTAAAACTCTCTGAGACACTGGGAGACACGACTTTCCCGCCTCAATATCCGTGCAGCTGTATCTTTTGGTGTACTATAATACATGTTCTGCCCAACAGTTTATATTAATGATGTTTTTTTTCCGTATAGACGTTGGCTTCGCCAAAATCACCCTACAGAACTGAACCGGGCGCAAACTTTCTACTCGAAAGTTTCCAAAGCTTCATAAAATATGTTTCCAAATCTTCCAACATACTTATCGCGTCATGAGGTTGGAGATCTCAGGATGTATGAGCTCGTTCCGTTGAGCTGCACGATCTATCGGAGCCAATCCTCTCATCTCCACTCAACGTCTTCGAAGTGAGGCCAAACGCAACCAACCCAATTCAACTCAAAGGCCTCACAAAGCCAGTATACTGAAATGATTCCCATAAAAAGGGTCTTCTCGTGCGCACCCCAACAACTCCGGTCTCATTTCCTCGCTTGAAGCCAGGGTCCTCCCCTGTGCTCCCCTGCAAGGCTTCCAGCACTTGCCTCGCACGCGCCTGGAGCCGCCAGAGATGGGACACGACCATGCGACCACCACGACCCGAACTGCCAACGTTCAGCGCCGACGTTTTCTCCGCTGCCTTGAGCAAACCCCCATGTGTTAGCCAAAACCCTTCCCAAAGACGACTTGTCTGGGACTGGCATATTTATCTATACATTGGGGTGGTTGACCTGGGTTCAATAGTAATAATATGTCAGTCCCAAACAGGTCGTGTTTGGGCTTTTGACAGTTTGAGATCCCACAATGGAAACGGATGACAGAACCACCAGCGACGTTTGAGAGCTGCGTTTGAGAACTGGGGATCCAAGCCCATCCAAACTGTAAAGGGATCCCCTCTTTCAATCACTGTGAAATCTACATACCCAGACACGACCTGTTTGGGACTGCCATAGGACTGCCGATCAGGCCAGGGGTGGTTTTAGGGGGTCAATGTATATATGGCAGTCCCAAACAGATCGTGTCTGGGATAGGCAGTCCATGTCGTCATTTTTTTGCTGTGCTATGGTGAGACTTGCCGAGGGGCCCTGGAAACGGGGCTCATGGAGTCGGAGGGGCGCTTCAGCCCCGGTCGATCGGAGCAATGAGGTCCTCGAGACTTCCAGGGTTCTGACCCGGGCTGAGAGGACTCGAGACTCTGAGACTCCAAAGCGCTCTGCTGGGTCCGTGCTTCGTTGCGGCAGAAAGCAATTTTGTTCGATAGTCTGTCTCGAGCTGGGAACAGAAAGGGGTCTGTCACTGATGCTTGTTTCCCCACCCAACACAAAATATAAAAACAACATAAACATCAGCCCCAAACCAACAAATAACAGACTAAGAAGGACATGTTGAAGAAAACACATGTTCAAAACGAAGATCACAATAATCTGTGATCATATAAGTAAAAAGACATGACATCTGTTTTTTCTTTACGCGGTGTTCTTTCTCGGATCTGTCCACCCCACCGACCTCCACCGTCGGTAAGGTGTCCGAGGTGAGGCGAGCTGCCTGGGCAAAGGTGCAAGGGTTGCCGGGTTTCTATGGTGGCACCAGTGAAGCCAGAAAGAACACCTCGATTCCTTGGAATCCTGGAAGTGGAAATCCCGCCCTACACATCCACTTCCACCTATGGATGCACCGAACCAGGTCGGTACGGTAAGGAAGGAGATTATTTATGTAGTACGTGGATCCATAGGGCCTAACACCTGGTATTTGGTATTTGGATGTATTTGGATTTGGTCAGAGTCCGACTCCTCGGGGCCATGCCATCCACTTCCACCATGATGATTCCAAAAAAAGTGTGGGTGAAAGGTTCTTTCCAGGGCTGGCACAGGCTGTAAGTTGATGTTCCCCGATCTTGCTGAGGATTTGAGTGGATACCTCTCAATCTCATTCTCCAACAAGCGCCGACAAGCGCCTAGCACCTCACAAGTCTTGGTCTCAGTCCAATTGCCACTATACACAAAAAACGGTACTTATAGTATCTACAGTATCTACTATATACCCGGTTGTACTGAAACCTAGGGTCAGTACAGGATATATCCACTCAGTACGGCCCCCTATCTACTCTCTTCGTCTCACCTCTTCGTCTCGACTCTCGATGGTTTTGAAAGGCACCAAGCTCAGACCGACTCAGACTCCTTTGATAAAGGGTGACACGGACAACTTCACGCCACCCAAAGCGGCCATTTTCGCGGGTCGCAGTGGAAAGTGTCAACCGCAAGGTTCAGTTCGCATCTGTTCCCCTGCTATTCGGACCACTTGGACCCATCACCACTGGGTTGGTCTTTGGAATATGGTTTGTTCAACCAAAGGTGGAGTCTCAGGGGCATTTGTTCATCGTCTGCGCATGGAGGAGTTTTTAGAGTCAGATCGAGCATCATGCTCAGCTCAGTGCTCATTTAGAGCTTTGCAAGAATTGAATTCACAGCTCTAAGGACCGGAACGGAGCTTTTGGCACCCAACTGTGCATTTTTGGGGGGGGAGCTCCAGGAGGTACCTCCTGGTGCCCATGATGTTTGTTCAATACCTCTTCTGTTCATCTTCAGCTTGACAACCACAAAGTCACCGTGGGGCAGTTCTACACCGATCAGGTCAGCGTGTTTCGTGCCGTGAACACTTTGGGCGGCCCAACGCTCAATTGCAGCTGCTGGAGCTTCTGGACACACACCTGCGAATCACGGATCGATTTACCAGTGCAGCGCCTTCCTGTCGGGATCACCCACGAAAGCCCCCGAACTACGGATCTCCATTGGACACCCCTTGGAAGGTAATGTCAATGTAAAAAAAGGGCACTGACCACTACCAGCATTGGGGAGGAACGAACGTGAGCTTTTCATCCATCTGGGATTGAATGTACTGTACATAAACATTGATAGACTATATAGTGTAGTAAAATATGTTGTTATGATCAACACTCAGTGCATACCCGCTCCGACCACGAAGAAATGGCACATGAACCCATTTTCCCAAGAGACTGGCCTCATACCACGGTCCATCCATCTCTTTTTGCTTCATCCCAGGTCCTTCTCTAAAGCAAAGACTCCCACAAGACTCCCACATCCCAGGTGTCTGCATCATCGGTTCCAAGACTCCCACCAGTTTGTCCAAGAACCAGATCCTTGAATGCGCAGCGCAGAATGCGCACGCACTCTGATCCTGGACCACCTCGTCATACCTCGCCGCTTCGGACCATTCCGGAACCCTGATGTTTTTGTTACCTTTCTTTGGGTAGGTCAGCGGGTCAGTAAACTGACCCAGCCCCATGTGTTTCTTCTCCCTTAGTCCAATGATCCCATGGACCCCTCAGAAGAACGACCAGGTTTCGACCATGGTCCAAAGGCCAACAAAAACATAACAGGTCCTTTTGGGCTTCCAGTGCGTGGTCCGAAGAGCAGGGGACCTATACCAAACATCGTGATACCGTTTTAGTAAACTGACTGTTATCGTTTTAGTTATATGTGCTGACTGTTATTCAGTTATGGAACACACATGAACACACCCGAAACATAAAACAAATATAGCCATGCAGTCCCACTCGAGTCCCAGCTCCTCCGGATGCCACACCTCGGCAGCTCGCTGGGGATCTTCCTGGACCGCATGACCTGGGCGTGACGAACGGACGGCAGGAGCTTGGTTTTGGGTTTCCAATTCCGAGGAAATGAAGGCATGTGTTATGGGTTGCATCAGTAATCAAAGATTTTAGAAATAGCTCTGGCTTCCTCACAGACGCCTGAAATAAAGAAGCTAGTGCAAGCGGTAAGGCATGTGGCTTTTAAATATGTTTTTACTTAGTACCCCGAGCTAAAGAACTTGGAACAGACTGTGTGTTTCTGACAGGAAGGGTCTATTTGAACCTCAGGTTTGCTTGGACTCATGAATCTCAGAACTTCAGCTTCGGCTTCAACTGCAAACACAGTCGAGGCTGGCAAAGGTATGTCAGGAGTCAGGACTTGGTCTCACCCCTAAAAGCATCTTTGGCTGTTCACATCATTTCACAAGTTTTCCTTGCTCACACGAATTTCCAATAGTTATTTTGGATTATGTTGGAGGTGAATGAGTTTAAGCAGCCCCGTGTGAAGCAACACCACATGCGATTGTAACATCATGCGGAATATCTGTTGGGTCGACATGAATATCCTTGCACCCCTGGCACTCAAAATCTCGGCAAGGTGGGCGAAAGTGCAAACGTCAAATGCCCATGGGCACACAAATGATACACACTTCTGCAACTCTATGTAATAATATTGCATGTGTACTTGATATATTTCAAAAAGAACAGCAAACAAACATAAGCCTCTTTGGGCAAAGCGCTTCAGCAGGGCTTCAGCAACCGACAATTTCGGCTAATAAGATGTTGCAGAAAATGTGGCCCACACACCCACGACTATAGCGGTTCTAGTTTCAGCTTTCTGTGGAAACACTTTATCGGGGACACATGAGGAGCCTTTTAAGGATACCCCGTTGTACTGGGACCTAGGGTCTGTACAGGTTTTTTTTGGGAGATTGACCCTTTCTCAGCCAGATCATGTGGATATATTTGAGGGGCTGAGGTTCAAAGTCAGGTCAAAAAGTACAATAAATCACATCAGCAATGAACATTGATAATTTTGAAAGGCCTGACGTCCAAATGGTCAGCCATGAGTTCCCATCCCAGGCTCAACTTTTCGGGTTGATCAGTGTGTTGGCACGTGTCGGGCGAATGACGATAGGGAAACAAGGAACGTGCTAAAAACATATCTTTTGGCACTTTCAAGTTGGGCGTTGTTTTGTCCTAGTGGTGCTGGTGATGCATGTGTTGGCCCTTCGCTTTCTTAGCAACCCTTGGGTTGCAAAAAGGTGGAGTACAGACACTGCATAAGCCAAGGAAAAAAGCCCACTTGATAAGAGGTGATGGTTTGATAAAATCCAAGGAAATGCAACACATACTGGATAATTTGAATGCAATGACCCTCAAATCATGCCACTTACTTGGGTGGATTATTTTAAGGGACAAGCCCCTTGTTAGGTAGCTCAGAGGCTGGCACCCCGATAAAGTCTTGGGTCAAACGCCATGGATTTTATCCACCCAGTATGGCCCCCTATTTTAAGGAATACAACAGGTATCGTTCGCAGCACAAGCCCCCAGGATCTTTTTGTTAAAGAAGAAATACAGGGCGTTAGTTCGTTGTCTGGTTTAGCAACCAAATATCGGAACTGTGACCATTGAAAGCCTTTAGAATTGGTAACCTGCCAAGACCGGGAAGGCTGGCAGGCCGAGGGATACAATTCATTGTACCAATATACCTGGACCCGACTTCAAGTACCCTAGAACATGTGACAAGACCTATATTAAAACAGGTCCTTGTACATTTTTCGGAGTTCTTTGAGGGTCAAGGGGGGTACACACAAATATATGATATGATATGATCATTTTGAGTTTAGTGAACGAATCATTCCCAGAAGTCACAAAATGTTGGTTTCTAGTCCCTAAGTGAGTGGATAATGGGGACCCCTATCCTCCAATAAGCACCCCTTTGTGACTCCTGGTCAAGTGTCGTTCAGTGTCTTTCTGCAAAGGTCTTCTTCGCTTCCATCACCCAACTTGGCCGCCCAACGGAGGGTCTCCGTCAAGGATGCCTCGAGACGGTTCCAACACCGATCCCAAAACTCTAAAAGGACATCGAAACTCATGCGTTGTTCAATCTGTTTTGTGGAGCGTGCATGGAACATCCTGCATTTCTGATTGCTTGAAGATGTTTCTGATTGCTTTGCTTTACCAGCCCAAAGCTGACATTCTGCCTGTATTCTGTGACCCCTGAAGAAGACAACATGTTGGAAATCCCTATGCTAACATCGTGTCAGAAGCAACCACCCAACCCAACTTGGCTAAGCTGACATCTTGGACATGTTACAAAGAAACCAGTGTTGAAAGCAGCATCGTCCTACTCTATATTATACCCAGATCAACTCCCATGTCACCGTGAAGAGAAGGGGCTCCATTCCATGTCAGCTCATTTTAGAACATGTTCTCCTCCATTAGTCCTGGTTGGCCGTCCCTCGAACAAACATGCTGTGTGGTGGAACACATCTTGGTTTACCAGTTACCAGTTACCACTAGATAGTGCGCTGGTCACCAGTCCCTAAAGATCCAGTCGTACCTTCTCAGGTACGGTGATTGGAGGCACTGTTATGTATGTTTTGACAAGGTACGACTGGATCCCTATAGGGAGTGGTTCCAAAGACTCAAAACAGCCAGGTGACCGATCTGGTCTTAGTCTTGCCTCCCAGGTGACCGATCTGATGACAGTGAGGCAAGCTGTCCACTAGACTAGGCCAGGTGCCAAAGACTAAAACCGGGTTCCAAAGACCGCTGCCCCACTGGTGGCTGCCTCACGATCGTGGCCTGCCTGCTACCCTGGTGGCTACCCTGCGCTGGCTCCGGCGTCGCCCGTCACATACCCGGCCGCGGGTTGCTGGGGTCACTGGCCCAATGCTCCTCAGGAGAATTCACCGAGACCTGGGCATTCGTCCAACTTCCCCTTGGGGATCAAGACGTCGACTGAGTCCAAAGCCCTAAGGATCCAAGTACCCTCTGAGAAGGTGTTTGTGGTGGGTGCCAGGAGGGTCCAAGTACCTTTTGAGGAGGTACTTGGATCCCTAGGGAAGGACTGAAGACGGGCATCCATCAAGTCGGATCCTCCTGCACCGACGAGTCCTGCACCTGCACATGACCATCAGTCATTGTATATAGTGACTTGGTGTGATCAACTTCAGTAGAATGAGGTCGTTGACCTGTAGGAATGATATGGGATGATGTATATCTTTATTAGTCTTTGTGCATGTCATATGATACGACATCTTCATTCAGGCAGTGTGTGCTCTGTCCTGTTGCCAGTGCCTCGGGGATGATGGACAAAGACGACATGGGCTGAAACGTGTAACGACGGACTTGACATTCCCCAAATGTCTCAAGCACTCCATGGGACCGGCAGATTTACTGAGAAACGGCCAGGGGTGGTTGAAGTCCGGGTCAATGTATGGAGCATATGCCATACACCAGGACCGACACCGTACTCTTGGTGTCTATGCCCATAGCCTCTTAGAGGTGAGGACCGGGCGAAAGGTTAGGACTTCCTAACAACGAGTCTCGGGAGTTGGCGGTGTGCCGGTCAGTCTCGGGAGGGTGAGCATGGGTGAACGCAAAAGTGAAGGCTACCAGCTCAATCAACACGGGCAAAAAGATAATATACCAGGGCCTTCAAGTTAATGGACACCCCGAATCACAGCTAAGGGGCTACAAATAGACACCCCTTGGAGGGTCCTGGTAGTCGTAACTAGTTAGAATCTCAAGACTCTATAGACCCTTGTCATGTACAGCAAAAACGAGGTTCTTAAGGGTCCATTTTCGGGCTCCAAGTGAATCTTGTAAGGTATGTTGTGGGTCGGGCGCTGGCAGGACCGGTTCACAAATACCACGAGCTCTCGCATACCCTGAAGCTAATTCAGTGCATTCAGTGACCACGATATCGCTGTAATTCCTGGAATCTGCATGGGTTAGTGATACAACACCCTTGGGCTTCGAAGAGACCGTTGGGCTTTTGCTGCTTTCGTTTTTCGTCGCCACATTGGAACAGCCGGCCCTTAGACCGATAGAACTTGGGCCGGCCCAGGCTGCAAGGCTGACAGCGGGTATATGCGACCGGTCTTGATAGCCAACCCAGCATCGGTTGACTGTCACAAGCGTCGGTTGACTGTCCTGCAAGCGAATGGCAGAGGCGTCTGGTGGCCTTCCTTTGTGTCACCCGAACATTTCTGTGAAGGGTGACTGGGAGTGGCCTTCCCTGCAAATACCGCGACTCTTTCCCCATCACTTTGCTCCCACACGCATTGTGCATAGCGATGCAGGAGTTCCAAACAGCTCTCATCCACCTGACAAGTCCGGCTTCAGTGCGAAATCGCCAGGGATTGGTGCCGCTACATCCACCAAGAATGACTGACATGACTGCTTCAATGACAATGTTGACCACAATTATCGACTTGGGGCGTGCATAGTGTGGAGTTCAGTGTAAGATGCGAGATGCAGCCAATGTGTGCTCACCACCACGTGGACGCAACACAATTGGAAGTTATACCTAGCTATATAACTACCTTTTATCTACCGTACCACAGGAAACCCACGGACAACTATAGTACTTACGACCTTCATGGTGGCCAGTCTCCAACACAAAAAGAAACGCTTCACTCAACCCAGAATTATCTGATTCAAAACACTTCTATCAGCTCCTCTGGGAAGCTTCTCCTCTGCTCATCTCCCAGCGTCGACCACACCGGACACCACCTTGGCCAAGGTGGCAGCCTCGGAACTCGATACGGAAAGAATCAGGAGGGTCAGCTTCAGAACCAGGATTAGTCGAATCGTGATCGTGATTGATGGTGATGTTCTGTGATTTTCATCCCCAGTTCCCAGTCCAGTCCATGGGACAGAAGCTCGCAGATGGCTTCCGATCAGGTGGGAGGGGTGGGTGAAGTCGGGGTCCATATGGGTCAATGTATGGAGCTATATGCCCGTCCAAAAGAGATCATGTCTGGGTTCTTCATTCACATGCTGGGGCTAAACACCAGGGAATGCCATGGAGCATCCGTCGGAACAAGCCCCATCCGTAGATCCAAGCTCCACTATAGTTCACCATGGGCAATCTGATTAGGCTCTCGCAAGAACTTCAGCAGGTTGGCCTCTTTCAGATTTTCTCTGAAAATAACATTAGATTATTTTGTTACCCAACTGTCAAAGACACTATAGTTGCTGTTCTTGCCTTCTTTACCTTCTGGAAGCACTGAAACTGATGAGATTGGGTGGGATCTGATGGTCCCAACTGTATTAAAAACATCTACCTTCACCTGCGCTTGGCGCGCCACCCGCTTGAATTCTCGTAACGGGACTCGCGGCACCGAGCCAACGCGCTTGGCTGCCGGTGACACGAGACGTTTCGGATCGTTTCGGCACTGGGTTCCCAGTGCTGTTCGATCGAGTCAGGGTTGCCGGGTTCCCTGGGGTTCCCTCAAGACGTTCCGAGTTCCGAAAGATGGTCACATGACATCGTGTGACCAAAAACGGGTCAAACAGAACTTGAACTATACCACCACTGCACGTGTGCGCACGACATGAAAGGTCTAACAGAACATCCGCACCGGATGTCACCGAGGTTCCGGTCGATCTCCACACTCAGCAAACCTAAACGACCACTGATTGCTTCGCCTGGCAGCTAGCATTCGCCACCCACAGGCCCAGGGTGTCCCCTCGTCGATCCTTCAATCCAAGCGGCTGCCAAGGGCGTCGCAGGAGTTTGTCCCAGTCGAGCATTCACCTCGGAACTGGTCAAGAAAACGTGGTCATTCTGCTTTTCACCTTTCACGATTTTCACCCATTTGTCTTCGGGCTGGAGTTTACCAGCAGTCCACAAAGTGTTTTTGTTGTGAAAAGTTGACCCTGCTTTTCCTTTGCGCGCAAAAATGGTTGCATAGGTTTTCTCGGTTTCGCGAGAACCCCAACGAAATTGATGAATGGAGCATGATGTTCAAGGAGGCATCATCACACACATTCATCAATCTGTGGTAGATAGCCCTACAGGCCGTTTGGCTACACATCCTACTGTACACACCCTCCAATCTGACAGTTGCTGGTAGAAACATGCAGGAATTGTTCAAGATCTTTTGCGCGACAGTCCTAAACACTTCCCGCCAATTTGCCCAGTTTGTATCAGTGTAAAACACTTCTTCCTGCCAAAATGCATGTATTTGGACAACTTAATAGTGGTTGTTGTTATTGTTGTTGCTTTAATACTTCGGGAAGGGCTTGGATGGAGGTGATCACCCAGTGCAACGAAAGCCTGCATCAAGCACCCTGTACATGTGTGTATATCATTTTTACACAGCAGGTAACCCGTAACCCCACGAATACATATCCCCAGGTCCAAGGATATGTCCCTCCACGGAAGAATTCGGTGAACAGTTGGTGAAATTGGTGGAACAGTTGGTGAAACCTTGGTGAAGTTGGTGAAGCATCGGGGAAGTTGACGGACAAATGACAAAATGTTTCTCAGCTTGGTCTGTGAAGAACAAGTGGAGAGACGTCTTCAAACGTGACGTGATGTACTTGCCAACTATGGCTGATCATTGATTATCGATATCCACGATGTTTTTCCCATATTGGTATTTTTGATCAGAAGAATGTGTTTGTATTAGGCTTGTAGCAAAGAAAGAACCTTCAGAACCTTTCATACCACCAACAAACAACACACAAAAAGCAAGCAACCAAACAAACAACATAACAAAACAAACAAATTCAAACAAGCAAACAAGCAAACAAACAGAACAGAACAGAACAGAACAAAACAGAACATAAAACAAACAACATGTCTCTCAACTGGAAGCTGGACACTGGTTGATGCTGGTTGCACGGTTTATAACTTGCCCGTCTTGTAAGTCCACTTAAGAGCGAAGAACAACCTCTCTGGAATGGATCCTCTTTCTTCAATCAAAGCTGCTCCTTCTTCCCACTGTGTTACCCCAAAAAATGGGACATGACCGTGTGACATGACCTGCACCTGTAACAGCTGAACCTGGAACGAACCCAAGGAACGAACCCGAGGAACGAACCGGGTCAGGGCCGTTCCAGTTTCCTCCACGCTCAGCTGTTTCCAAGCTCAGCTGTTCCCCTCCCCTGCAGCTGAAGCACCACTGAGAGATCCAAGCGTTGAAAGATCTTCGGACACCTCAGCTTCAGAAGGCGCAAGAAGGCGGTGCGCGGTGAATATGCCTGGCGTCCACATACTGAAGACCCCAGACCCAATACATGTTTAGGGGCTATACGTTTGATATCTTTAATGATCCATAGCTGTACTAGATGGCAGATGTGTGAAACTCTTCAACTATGACTGGTGTCAAACTACCAAAAGCAACTTGAGCACCAGCCAGGTGCCTGTGGAAACAGGATACAAAGATAGATCAAACACCCAAATGTGGGTAGACCATCGACCAACAAAATCCCACTCAATTTGGCAACAAGTTTGTGCTGATCTTAGCCATGATCTCCTGTGTTGTCACATCTGTGGCACCTCTGGAACCAATGCCGAGAAATTGACCGTATACCGTATATCTAACTTCCTGGTGCTCAGGCGGCATCATGGGTAATAGTTCTCCATCAAACAGGGAGCCGGAACTTTGTTCCGCTCCCCTGCTCCCAGGGGAACCCCCTTGCTTGGAGCAACAATACCAAAACACGATGAACGGGACGGGCATATTTTACCGGTGGGTGAAAAGGAGTCAATGTTATATGTAAATATGTCCCAAACAGGTCGTGTCTGGGATACAGTTCCTTCCCATGTCGTGGACGCCATTTTTTCTTCCAAACTCCGGAGCTGGACCTTCTGCGCTCGCTCCTAACCGCAAAAGCCCAGGCGCTGTTCCTCCAGGTCACGGCACAAGCCTAGCGCGGCGCTTTCGCGCGATCGCGATCGCGCGCGATGCAAACGAAGGAAGGGCGGACCATTTGTGCCATGGCCGTATGAAGACTCTGGTGGACAGAACCAAACTCCAAGAACAATTGTTGTAGTCTTTACCGAAGAACCATTCTTTGAATTACCCAGGATTTTGCCGAACCAAATTGGGTCGTAAAAAAAAATAATAGTGGTCTGGGCAGGCTGCGGAATGCAGTGAGGAATAGTGAATGCCAAATCAAATTACATTCCCTAGGGATCCAAGTACCTTCTCAGAAGGTACTTGGACCCTCCAAACCTACATAACAGTGCCTCCGATCACCTTCTGAGAAGGTACTTGGATCCCTAGGGATTATGTACAAACAAACGTCAGCACGTTGTATGCACTGCGCGTCGCATTGCTTCGCATTGCTTCGATTTGCTTCGCAGCGTTGGATTGCAGCGGTCGACCGATCGGACGAGGGAAGCTCAATCCCAGACACGACCTGTCTGGGACTGCCATAGGACTGCCGATCAGGCCAGGGGTGGGTGGTTTGAGGGGTCAATGGGGCGGCATATATATGACATACATGGAGTGTCTGGGAATGGTGTGTCTTTCTTTGTACAAACCACGCTTGGCGCATGGAAACGGGGATCATCAGGAGCAACAGGTTGTTTCATGTTGTTTCTATACCCGGTTGTTGTGGTTTGGAGATTCTCCAAATTCTCACCGGTTGTGGCCATAAGCCTTGTTGGCAAAAAAAGGGGGTTTTGGAAGGCCAAATGTCCACTGCTGCTGCCAATCGTTGTTGCTGTTGCGGGAATATGATCCGGAAGCAAGTAAGGATTTCCGTCCTCTTCGTCGAACAGCAAATGGTTTGGGAATCCCTCCTGCCAAACGGAAGCAGGGACCCTCCTTTTTCAGCAGGGGCCGGATGAGGGACCCTCAAGGGCTGTTTGGAGCGTGACTGTGCAGTGTTGATACAAAAACTTCTTCAACTGTAGCTGTTTGACTTCGGAACACATGAGTGGAACATCTTTGGGAACATAAGAATGTGTGGATCGTTCATTTTTGTGACCCCAAAACTCTTCTTCAGCCGACCGCGCGCTGGGCCGACCGGAGAATTTAAAAGCACCCCTGGGTCGCCTGCCGAAGCTCCCCGAAAGCGCGGGTACTCGCGCGGCGCCGTCAGTGGACGCGCCACAGGCGCCACCGGTACAGGTGCCTGGCAAGGGGGTGACCAGAGTGTGGACAAGATCTGTTGAATTCTTGCTCAGTAAAAGGTATCCCCATGCGAAATTGCCAAACAACTCTGTTGAGACCCCCAGACCCCTGCATGATCCTCCATGATCCGATGATTTCTTATTCCTGCGGCAATCGGTGTGCGTGTGGGCCAAGGAGTTCTTCTGCCAAGAACTGCATATGCATGATCATACTGGACCTCTTGAAGCAAGTGAACAAGGACCGCAAGGACGCTACTAGGGGCTGGCCGTAGACCAAGACTCACCACTGACTCCTGGCACATCCCATCCGACGCCGACTCCCAGCACCCACCAGCACGGAGCCCGGCTCGGAACGCAGCGCCTCCAAGTCCACGGAGGGCGTTGTGAGGCCACCTAATGGGTGCCGGCGCGACGGAGCCGATAAGGCCACCCGTCTTGGGTCCGTTCCGGCCACCCCCCTCCGGCCATCAGCCATCGGAGAAGGTGGGCCAGGGGTGGGTGGGCCATGGGGGTTCGAAGACCACCGGTCAGCTGAGGATATGGGACGTTCGGAGCCCTTGGGTCCAGTCATCTCACTGAAGCACCTGGGCTTTGACCCCTTCCCTATAGGGATCCAATTGTTCGGAAGGTACTTGTAATGCCCTGGCACCTACATAAGCAGTGTCTCCAATCACCTTGTGAGACCCTAAATGAGTGCCCCAATCTGCCTGGGTAAGGAGCCAATGGCTCGCCCGGCCCGTTCAGAGGTGATGAAGGCTGAAATACGTGTGGAGATCGGCCACGAGGCAGTCGGGAGTCATTCGACCGCAGGAAGATGGGTTCGTGGGAGTCCGCCAAATGGTACCCAAACACGACCTGTCTGGGACTGCCATAGGACTGCCTCCCATTGGGGTGGTGGTTGGGGGTCTGGGGCGGCAGTCCTCTTCCAGTCCCAGGGAGTTGTCTGGGTATACGGCTTTGGGTTATAGAGGTAAGAACAATGCCGAGTGGCACGGAACCCTCGGTAGGTGGACTATACCTGATTCCATAGTCGATTTCAAGTGCTGGGATTGAGACGACATGAGATGACCTACAACTCTGTGGCTGGACATGCCAAGAACCTTCCGACCACATCAACAAATCTTGCTCATCACGAATGACCCTCCAGATCCCTCCAGTGGAGGATGAGCCTGGCTGCGGCGTCAGAACCTCTTTGAGTAACAGACCTTCCAGGTCGGAACGGTTTTCTGGTGCCATGACCCATCCCCAAGTAGCTTGATCTGTGTGTCTTCTGTGTGGCAAGATGTGGCAAGCCACCTGAGTCTTCTATAACAAAGACGTGCAGGATCCACGGAGATGATCGCAAAATGCCCCAATTACAGAAGTAGCCGCGGCAGCATCCATGGAGAGGGGTGGTTTTGGGCTTGCCAGCTGGCGGAATGATGAGTTGCTCTCTGGAGCAGGACCTGCTTCAGGCTCGCAGATTGGATGCTGAGGATGTCTCCTTTTCCGCCTGTATGGATTCTTACCGGGGCCACTGCAATGACTCCAGCCCTCTGACCAGGATGCAAAGTCAGTTGGACCAGGCGTGAACAAGTGCCGATGTCATCTGACCTGCTCAAATGCTGTCTTACTTGCTCCAAGTGCCAACGTCTTTTACAAAAGCCGCCTCTGCTGCCTCGGCCGCCTTTCTCGCTCTTTCGGTTTTCTCTTTCTCTCTATCTCTATCTCTCTCTCTCTCTCTCTGCTGCCCGCTGGCAGCTTCCTCTGCCGGCAAGGCATGTCTAGGGTTTGGCTGTACTGACAGGGCGCAAAAAGGCCCGCAGTCTAAAGGGCCCACAAAAGCATGACTTGCGGGCCAGGATCAGAAAGGATCCAGGATCAACCCAAACGATGCAAGTTGAGCCCAAGAGTTGGAACCAAAAGAAACACAATGGAACGGAACTAGTCTTTTTGGAGCCTTCCAACATGGAGAGCCTGCCGCAGCGAACCTTGGTGCTTTTCTGCCTTTGAAACCTTGACCATCGCCATCGCGCTTTGGTTCCGCATGGTTGCTCCATCGCCAAGCATCCCGGCTCTCCATCAAGAAGGCAGTGCAGAGCTGGACCGCTGGGTCCAACGCCTGAGGGACGAGCCCAGTTTGCGACGAGCAGAGCGCACCGTGCGCGCAGGACTCGGCGGAGGGCCCAGTGGAGCGAGCGGAACGAAGGAAGTAAAGCTCAGGAGCGACATGTGACAGGGAGGGTTGGGTGTAAAAGGTGGACAGGGGGAGTTTCAACCTGTTCCAAACTGTCCGGAGTGATCCAATCCCTTTCAAAGGGTTTAGGATAGTCATATTGGACCAAGTCACTCGATCTCACCAGTCAGATGAGGGAACCTAGGAGCGAATCTGACACGCCAGGCGCGCTTGGAGAAAACAGCATCTACTCCTCATCGGCATCGGTATAACCATTTAGATCCATTTAGTATCTTTTAAGTTTCAGGTCCCCAAATAGGTAGTGGCACAGTGTCCGATACATGCTTCGTGTATACCAAACTTAAACAAGAGAAAAAACGGCAACGACCCCCCGAAACCTCCGCAGTGGGTAGGTTGGAAACGAATACCGCTCGAGAAAAACCCCGCGGCGCCCTGGCGGGCGGCGCCTCATCGCTCTCCACCTGAGAGCCAACCGGTTTGGAATTGGATTGGGAAGAAAGGGTGAACTTGAATGAGAATCCATCCTGAAAAAGAGGGAAGATGGTCTACATATGTCTACATGGAACCTGAAAACCACCAGTCAGTGCGTTGTAGACATAGAGGAACATGGTCTTCCAAATGTCCTGAAAAAGAGGATGGTACTGACTTCAGACTTCAGCACAGCATCCACGAGCCAAGTGTCGAGAGTCTGAATCCAGCACCTGGACCTTCCGTGGATTTGCTCCGTTGGAGGATGTTTAAGGGATCTCGTGCGTGTGGAGGAGTCCACGTTCAAATCAAGGAAGCTCAGCACCTCAAGAAGCACCTCAACACTCAGCAATGGAAGAACAGCAATGGCTTTCCAGGATCAATTGATATGTTGACTTCCTTTGGCCTTCTATGCTGCTTTCATCCGTGAGAATCGGCTTGGTCCACCGTGTAGCCCCGTCCAGTCCTGGGTAGCCCTGGTCGGACCCCGCCCAAGGGCGCCCGTGCCAGTTTCCCAAAGCTTGTCCTCTGCAGTGTCCTGATTCAATCGGGGCCAAAGGACCCGAAGGACGAGGCGTTTGGTTTGTTTCCCAGACACTCCATGTATGGCATATATGCCTACATTGACCACCAAAACCACCCCAATGTAGGCTTATATGGCATACATGGAGTGTATGGCATAGATTTAGGTACATGGAAACCACTGAAACCACCCCCAAGGTGGGTACATATGCCAGTCCCATGGATGGTCTGGGTATGTCTGGGTTTGGGTGGGTCAATGTATTGAATATGTCTTGGTGCATCACAGGTTCTAGGCTTTGGTGGGTCTCCCAATTTCAGTGCTTGGAATCCTTCCCTCATTCCCGACCAATCGCCTGTAGCGGGTGAGTAATACGGAGACCTCCCAGAGACCCACCGAAGGAAGGACCATTGGAGCAAAACCCATTGGTTGGAGACATCCCTCTTAAACAAATCCCACGCACATCTCTCTTACGAGTACAAGGCTGCCTTCCACGAAAAGGGAGGATTCCATTCTCTTCGAATCGGTTGTGTATCAATCCAACCCTAGGGATCCAGTTGTACCTTCTCAGAAGGTGATCGGAGGCACTGTAATGTAGCTTTGGAGGGTCCAAGTACCTTCTGAGAAGGTACGACTGGATCCCTAGGGCAAAAACATCCACGACTTGGCAGCCATAGAATCTCTGGAAAAATTCAACCACTGAGCGAGGAACGACGACCGGATCCAAAAACCGAGCCAGAGAATCGGAGCGGGGCCTGTGCCACAGGTGTCTAACCAGATTCTGAAGATACGGAAGGGATTCTTTAGAATGAAACACAACCAAACACGACTCTGGGCTGGTGAAACTGCTGGTGAAATATTTGGAAGTCAATGGGGCGGCAAATGTTCATGGATGGGTTGAGTCATGTATGAACTTGAGGCCAAGGGGGGGGGGGGCGAAAGCTAGCGCTCCAGAATGGGAAAGTGGAGGGCAGCGAGGTAGGAAAAAACACGGCGCTCTTTTTGGAGGCAGGGGTGAAGAGTCCTTTATATGTGGCTCTTTGCCCGGATCCTCCTGCGAGAGAAGAGAGAGAAGAGAGACGGAAAGACGAGAGACAGAGAGGAGAGAGAGAGAGAGAGGAGAGAGAGATGAGAGAGATGAGAAAGAGATGAGAGAGATGAGAGAGAGAGAGAGAGACAGTGAGACAGTGAGACAGTGAGACAGCTTGAACTTCAGCTCCAGGAAGATGACAAGTGGTACCAGGAGGTGTATGAGGCAGCAGCGCATCGAGTTGGAACCCTCCTCACTGATCCGGAGCACTACATGAATGGGCATGTGGAGCCAGTGGTTGCACCCTACAAGGTACAGCCAGAGAGACCGCGGGGGCGCTTGGATGTGCTCCGCAGGATGAGTCAAAAAGACAATGGCCCTGGTGAGCACCAATGGCAGTTGAAGGGCCAAGGACTGCTGTGCCTGTTGTGCGGCCTTCACATCAAGAGCTGCTCAACGCATGCTGAGATTGAGGCCAAGGCAGCCACGGTGTGCCCCGGCGAGAAGGTCAAGACTTTGACAAATATCATGGAGGACATGCTCAATGCTTCGTCCCTGCAACAGGATCACCAGCCAGGGCACCGTTGGTATCTGCGAGCCAGCTCCTTTGGATGCAGCCGATGTTGGATCAAGGTTGCTCGCAGATGTGGTAAGGAGACTCTCCACAGGCTGGCAAATGAACCCTGCCAATATGCCGCAGTGACAGAGCAGGACCTCAATCTGCGCATGAGAGTCCACCCCCAGCACCAGCTGATGCAGAGGGGTCAGTGGCTTGAATGTCAGAAGTGCTTCAAAGTCTCCAAGATGACAGGAGGCAAAGTGCAACCGTGGATGGCACAAGAATGCCCTGGAAGGGCGAAGCAGACAAAGCTGGCCTTTGCACCCAGCTCTAGCAGCTAGGCCTCCCCGATACAAGGAGAACGAGCCTTGTCGGGACCCGCTTTTCCCTTGACGGTGCGGGAGTCGACTGCAGCAGAGAGAAAGAACCGAGCAAAAAAAAAAAAAAACAGTGAGACAGTGAGAGTGAGCGAGTGCGGCCGCAAGATACGCAACGCTAACCGCATGCCAAAGAGCGACGACAGGACGGAGTCGAACTTACGAAGAGGGAGGAGGGAGGGAGGGAGGGAGAGAAGGTGGGAGGAAGTGGGAGGAAGACAAGGAGGAGGAGAGGGGAGGAGGGAGGAGGAAGGGGGGGGGTCTTCGACCTGAAAAATCAGGGGTTAGGATTTGCACCGGGTGGAAAGAAACCTTGCTATCGCAAGAGTAACTCCAGCTAGCTTCGCTAGCTTTCGTGACATAGAGAAAACCTCCCAAAAACTCGGAAGACTGAATCTTCATATATAACACACGGATGCGAGAACCTACGATCAGAACCCGGCCTGGTCCCCATGAACCCCGTTTTCCGTGACCCCGTGTGACCACCGTGTGACCACACTGCTTGGGGTTTGGCCGTTTCCGTGTGACGCTCGCTTCTGCCGGGCGTCTGCAGCAAGTCTTCCTTCAACAAGCTGCTCCGCAGCACCCGGTAAGCGCTCTTCCTCGGCGGCGCCGCGGCGCCCACGGGGTGGGAATTCGCCGAGAACTTCCCGGGAAATGGGTTGGAACTTCCCGCGTTTGAAGGCAGGTTTGGAAGAACAGCCCTGGAACTGACTGGAGGGGGGGTCAGCATATATGGAACAGGAGCCCTGTATAGAGGCAAAAATGGAACGGAGCCCTTGGTGAGCCTGGAGCCTCTGCAATTGTTCACCAAAACCTCCCTGAAAGGCTCAGAGATTCTCTCGGACTTGCTCCACATGCGCTAAGTTGCAAGTGGGATGCCACCCATCTAGAGAAGGATTCCTGGTGATTGGCTGGTGCATCCACGCGTCAAACATAAGTGGCCGATGTCGCCCAGGCACTGGAAATAACATTCTTCTGCTGTAGGGTCTAGAGATGTTCAGAGTCATTCCCTTGTTGACCCACCATCATCATGTTGGTGCGACTCAAATATGACCACTGTCGGCCTTGACAAATCAAGGGCCACTTTGTTCTAATTGGTGAGAAACACTGACCAGTTGGCTCTTAGCCGCTGCCGCTACGAAGGCATCCCCACTCATCCCCGCCATGGTCTTCCACAAAAGCCCTGTGGGTTATGACGATCCCAAGGACCCCTGTAGAGGGAAGCAGGCATGAGAAAGGCGCCGTGAGAATGGCGCCATCCATGTGAGTTGGCATAAGACGGCATAGGCATAGGGACACGAAAAAGTGGGGCCTTGGTGTCAAAGATCAACAACGTCCATTGCGGGCAGCTGATGAGGACGTCCATCTCGTCCTAGCTATGAAAACCCAATATTCTTTCCCATTTTCTCGGGTACACAGCATGGTACGGCCGAAATCGGGTCTAGGTATGGCACAAGAAGGTTGTTCATCCCTTGCTGCACGAATTTGATGAATTCCCAGATCTTCCTTATATACCAGGTTTTATGGATGAATGGTTACCTGTTATATCAATCCTAGTTAACTGGATGATTTGGGGATAACCACACCTTTCACCTGTTCGTTCTTAGTGGGGGAAACGCATCCTGAAAATTACAATGAATTATGTATAATTACGTAGGTGTTGTATAGGTTATTATCCACTCACTGGGTATAAGGAATCTCTGATTTCGATCCTGCCCTTTTGAAAAGGTCAATCCAATTGAGTTGCCTCGGTTTTTCGCAGCGGCTTGATATACTTCAGATTTCGCTTCAGCTTCGTAGGTGAAACGATTGTGTGTCTTTCATAAGAACCAAGTCGAACATCACGGATTCATGGGCGTCATGGCCCCCATGACCCCCATGTCATCCTCACATCCAAACATTCCGCTCACATCCTCACGGCTTCCCGCTGCCGAACGGGGCGAACCTCCGAACACGTGGGCTTCTCGAACTAAACCGGAACCGCCAGGGGCCTTCGTTCCGAGGCGCTGCTCTTGCAGTAAGGACAGCAACGCCAAGACCTCCATGGCACGTTCCGCCACCTGTGGCTCTTTGGAGGTCAGACCCGTGGAGCAACACGCCAAGCTGAGAACCGGTGAACGGGTTTTTTTCAGTTGGTTGATGTGTCGATGCTTTTGAGGTGTTGAAAACACCATGTTTTGTTGAACTGCGAGATGTTTGAATAGTTTATTTGGTTCGTGAAGTGCAGGGTTTTGGGCCCGTTCTCACTACTTGAGTGTTCCACTGCAGTGCGTCATATCCTGGATGCCTCTTTTGTGGAGACTTTCACCAAGCCAACATGAGGAACTGGTTGTGAAAAATCCTTTGCCCTCACTAGAAAGCTAGCTAAGGACGACATGTTGGTCAGAATCCCGTCTCACAGCAGTCCATGTGTCTGTCGGGAAGATCTGAACATTCATGTTCACATGAACTTACAGGCACCCGAAAACAGTGAAAACAGGTATACACAATTACAGGGACCTATGCATGGGACAGCTGTCATAAGTGTGTATGTTTTCCTAGTCCCACTGGCAAGTCAAGTCATCAATGTGACCCATTCGCCTTTCCTAGAACTTCCCAGGCCATGTGAGCCCAGATTCCAAAGGTTCACCCAAGTTCCTGGAACCTATGTACTGAGATCATTGGAAGCGCTTCCAAGCTTGGTAGGCCTGCTAGGCTGTAAACGAACGTGCCATTCTCCTTAGGGTTTCGGTTTCTGGCATCCGACTGGATCGATCGACCATCCGTTGAGACGGTGGCTCCAACACCGGAAAGTGTGAAACTCCTTTGCGGCATCCCCGGTTCACCCACCAAGCTGAGACGCACTATATAGAGAACATCCAGCAAGTTGCACCTTTCATCAAAGACTCCAGCCCGAAAAGGTGGATGTCCCCAAGATGGTCTCATTTCCTTGGAAATCCACATCCCTTTCTGTTGAATCCTAAAAAAAGGGGAAACGACATGGAACAACCAAAACATTCCTGGCCGGCCATCCTGAAAACCTCAGCTGGACCTACATCCGAGCTTAGCATCCATTGGGATCGCTCCATGCCAAACGCGCTTCTCCCCCCGCGGCCACGCGCCCGCTTTTCCCGGTACCTGCAGGACGGAATGCAAGGTCTGCCGAGCCTCGCAGGGTCCGATCGACGGGACGGGAGCGGAGCGCTGTTCCGGTCCGAACGTGGGACACATGTACCACATATTCCCCAGGCCTGGGGATTTCACCTGGAGATATAACTAATCACCATGGATATAACAATCACCTGGTCAGCAAAACCAGGTGATTGAAGCACCACTGGGTTCCCAAAAGTAAAAGTGGCAAGCAAGAACTGCAATGTTCGTTAAACTTGCAAAGAGTGGTGAACGCCCTTGATTAGTTTCATCAGATGTGGAAAGCACACCTCTGGTAGTGCCATATCACATGTTTATCCTTTCTTTTGGTGAGGGCTTACTCTCGTATCATGCGATTTCACTGAGCTGAGTATGTGGGGCTAGAGCCACATACAGCCCTAGAGAGCCTTCATCGCTGAGTGGATTTACAGCTCCCAGGAAGCCTGGAGCTGTAAAAACACAATATTCCCCAGGTTTGGGGATTTAACCATTAGGGAAAATAAGACATCCCTGATCCACAAAAAGAGGTAATACGAGTCGTTGTTGCTCCTTTTGGCTTCTACCTTCATGACACTTCATGAGCATGTTACAAATCCGGTATGGACATGGACAGTTCCCAACTGCCTTATACCCGATAACAAGTCACAAGCCAGATTCCAGCTAACTCCTCTGAGGATGTGTTCATTGGTCTCCTGTACTGCAACTAGCCTGGTCTTTGGACGTACATAGCCTCAGCCTCCTTCCAGAGTGGGCTGAAACCAACGGAGCGGTCGGACGTTGCGTCTCTCGGCCTGTGCCACGGCCTCGGTTTGGATGGAACGCTCCGTGTAGAGCTTGAACCTGGCGAACGCAGATCTTCCCCTCTTGCGGGTCGCTTTTTTCGCTGGGTGCGGTGCCGTTAGGTCCGGCGGTCAGAGTTCGGGCCAGTGGAGGGTGTTGAGTGGGGACCATAGTAGTACCAGTAGTATTTAAAGTGCTTGCAATCAAGATGACATTCAAAGGGTGTCACAGAGATGATTTCATTGATTATCTCATCCATTCTCATCCCACGGGACATGGAGCGCCAGCTCCAGTTCTTGGTAATACGTCCGGCTCCTTAGGGTGGAAAAAGCGGTGAAGAATTCAGGCCCAAACACATCTGTGAATAAATTCCTGCAGTGATGCGCTGAATCCACACCAATGATCACCAATGTAGGTAAATATGCCAGTCCCATGGAGTGTCTAGGATAGTAGTGGTTCCTAGTCCCTAGTCATCCACATCCTTTCTGCTTGACAATGGAATGTGCTTGGGGGTGTTGAAAAAGATGGGCTTGAAAGAGTCCATTACTACACGAGGATGTGGCGAATTACATGGGATGCTCAGGAAGTGGTGCCTGAACTTCAAGGAGTCCCCTATCGTTTTTCAAGGAACCTTCTAACTCAACTCCCTTAGTAAGCTAAGACACGCTCTCTACAAAAACAAGATCTCTTACCGTGAATCGAGGAGTCCGACTCGGTGAAGCTTTGCTCCAAAGGAGTCCAAGCCGAGTCCTTCTGCCCAGTCACCAGTTGGATGCGAAACGGGTGGATCTCTTTTGAGGTTCACTCAGTCATCCGAAACATTCATCGTCACTCCTTCAGAACATCGCGCAAAAGCTCGGAGAAATGGCTCGCTCGTGCCGACACCCGGATGCCACACAAAAAAAACCCTTGGTCGTGAGTCTAGAAAGGAACCAGGCAATCTGCCACTATCATGTTTCATGTGTTTTTCTCTTTATACGTTCGCCTAAGGTGGTCTCATCCGTGGCCTTTTCTGTCTATCGCATTCTTTTGCCTTCATGTTTATTCACCTCAAACGGGCCAGCGGTGATGATCTCTGCCAATGCCAACACATACTTCCTTCTGCCACTACCGTTAAAAGCCAGCCCTGCCCTAGCCGTGTAGTTCTACGTAGAACCTGGTGGTCCACTCCCTTCTTCTCATCCATCAGGCGCTTCGCCCGATGAATCATCCTGTCACCCGGTGTGTTTCCAACTCCCCACGGTATATATGAACAAAGCTGATGTCTTGGCTATGGCCTGGTGATTTGAAAGGGGCCATAGCCAAAGAGTTGCTTGCATCAAATCAAACAACAACAACAACAACAACAACAACAACATCTTAATATCTTCTAATCAATAGGAGCTTCTTCTAATCGGATGGGCGTATCTCCGACCCGGTGACCGGGTACCGACCCCGACCCGGCCGAACTGACCGGTGGCGCCTCGTGGCGCACTGGGAGGCCACGGCGTGGGGCGAGGCCTCGGTGGGGCGGTTGGAGGGTTTGGCCGTACGCGGCGGGTTTGTTTCCGGTGGATGTGTTCATGGCTGGTTGGTTGGTTGGTTGGCTGGGTGGGTGGTTGTTTGGTTGGTTGGATGTATATACGGAAGTTGGATCGTCATACGATTCTTTTTCAGCTTCTGAGGATGATATTGCCAGCTGCCAGCTGTTGGATCGTCTTAGATAACTCTTGGGCGCACATCCCATGCGTCCCATGTGTATAGTCATTGGGTGTGCACTGTATCATGCTGTGGGGATTTTGAGCGATCATGTTTGGTCTGATGTTTTGTTGATGTTGAAACCCATACACTTGTGATGTTCTGTCTATGTTCCCTTTCTTTCCGCAATGGTGATGTTTGTACTTGGTCACCAAAGGACTGGAATTCAGAATGCAAAACCCTACAGATCCAAAGACCCAGTGGAATCTGGTCACGAAAACCCCAGGCCCATTGAGATCCATTGAGTAGTGAATAGTAGTGCATTATGGAGGTTTATAACTCCAGTTCAATGCGCTCCATTCTGGACCTGCAGGGAACGCTTTATCATTCGAATAACGCGACGACGACGGCGGCGACGGTTTCAGGCAACGATGGCCACGACCTTTCCACCCATTGGGTCGGAAGATGTCCCACCGCTGGTGCAACGAAAGTCAGGGTGGGAATGACCCCGACCCCTCTAAATCTATGCTACCGATCAATTCGGATCCAACCACCTTCATTCCATACTTTCGTCGCACCAGACTTTCCTTTGGCAGTCCTTTGCTAGAATATGGCTATAGCTATGACCACCCAGCGGGTAGAAGTTGGAACCGACAAATCAACCCCAGTTGAACGGTACACTCTCCAACCCGACCTCGGACAACCCGCCGCGGATCACGGTGATTTCTCACCGCACCTGCAGTCCCGTCCGTGCGAAGAGCACCGCCGGGCGCAGCCGGGTCAGCCTGGGACGGAGAGACTGGGGAAGCGAGTGAGCTTTGTGGCGGTGGAAGGCTGGAAAGTCCTAAAGGAGGGGTGGGGGAAATTTGAAATGCATGGACACATGTCCAAAAAAACAACATCTTGTTACCCTGAAACTAGCAGGGAACATGCATGGAAGTACAAATGACAGGCTTCAGCCACCCAAAATAGGTCTGGTTCGACGGGCTCGTGCGGTCACCACGGGGGGGCCACTGGATGGCCAAAGCTGGTATGTGTATAGTTAAAGGCTACAAAGATGCCTTGATGATCTAGACTAGACTTGACTAGACAAGGATGAACTCCAGCAACTGATCAAGTGATCCTGCTGCCTGTTGGACGAACGTCCCGCGTAAGTTGCCCCGCACGTTGCCGAACGATCCTCGATCAGGCCCACTACCCTGTAAAGACTCGCAAAAGAAACAAGTAGCGATGCCCTTGTTACTAGTAGCTTCTTGTTACTAGTAGCTTCTTGTTCCTAGTAGCGATGCCCTTTGCTCCTAGTAGCTTCTTGTTCCTAGAATCACATCATGGCTGTCTCAATTGCCCTGCCTGCACAAATTGGGGTCCATCCATTCAGAATAGTCGGCGAATCTGGATGGGTCTCTGGGTGGTTTTAACAAACAAAACCTACGGTGTCCTACACCAATCATTTGTTCCGCTCCTTTCCGTTTTGATTGTATGTATCGCGGCCAAAGGAAGAGATACTTTATTCCATCTGAGGCTTCCGAGATTTTTTGGGCCCTCAACACACCCTCCTTTCGGGCTTCCTTCAGTCACATTCCAGGAGCCCCTGCAGTCGCCGCACTGCATCCTCCGCAATGCCCAGTCCTGACTGTGCCAACTTCTACCCGAAGTTGGGTGTGAACCAATACAGCAAAGGACAGCCAAAATTAAGTCGGGAACGAGGGTGGCTGGATCCCAAATAGGTACTATTAGGCTGAGGGGACTTCTTGGTCAGGGGGAGGAACACCATATAACACCATCCTCAGGAACCTGAGGAAAAAGAAGTCGCACCAATCAGCAAACATCAAACCTTCCAGCACCACCCAGACAACCCAGCGTGGCGACCGTGAGATGAACACTGCATGGTCCAGTTCGCGGTTTGGGGCGCGTTTGGGGCGAAGCGTGGGTGGTCCTGACCTGACTTCTGGGGGAGCTCTTCCAAAAGGAAAGGACCGGAGACCAAGAATCAAGCTCCCAGCAGTCACGTTCGACGGGATGCGGAGCTTGCTTTGGGGTGCCGCAGCTACTACATCCACGGCCACTGGATGGGACGAGCTAAGCCACCCCGTCTTGTGACTCCTGGTCATAACTGTAAAGCATTTAAAGCATGGAGATGATCCGAGGTTCCATGCTTGAACAGCTCCTTGCTGGTATCCTATCCATTGCAAGTGATTTCAGTACATTGGGACTCACGATGGTCCGGTCAAGTACATTTATATGTTCCTTCTTATCATGACGTCACTGCTGTGTTCTACATACAACTGGCCAGTGAAGGCTTCTCCCACAGGATGCATGATGTCACAGGCACAGGTGCTTGAAAGGCATACACTATACCCAAAGCGATAATTATTGGATTCTTACTACAGCTGATGGAGAACACATCCCAGCAAAAACCACCCGGTCGTCACCTGCGACGTCTTTGCCCGCGACACCCCGTCGCGCACCCGCCGTCGTCGCGACGCGTGGCGCACCTAGCGTCTCCTGCTGAACCTGGGCGGGCCGGGCAGAAGCAAAGGACACTTCATCACAGCGGAAGCTGGACCTCCTTGACGAACCGGGGAAGACATGTTTTCTCAGAAAAGGATTCTGTAGTTCGGGAAAAATGAACAATCAACCCAAGATCCCTAAGCGAAACCACAAAACCTTTCTTGAACCTGTTTAAATGGGTGGTTGAAGTCATGAAGCCCCCTGCTGCCTGCTCTTCTTTCAGGTAAAACCGTTGGGAGGTCCTCTGCATTGATTGGGAACGAGATTCCGTACTCAGTATATCTCTCAGTACTCCACGACCATTAGTTTGCACCCCTGCTGCCAAGTGGTGGCGGAGAACTTCACTGGCATAACTTAGGTCCTAACATGGTGACCCAAAACAACCGAGCTGTGCGGGAGGGTGTCACGAGATCATGCCATGAACAACCAAGTCGTCAAATCACAAATCCTTCAGGTGCAAAGTGGAGCTCCTTGCGTTTGCCCACAACCCTGTCAACTGTTACTCGCATGCCTACCTCAAATCTGCAATCCCTCAACATGGTCACACTTTGCCTTGTAAATATCTGTAACTGCAAACCAAAGCAGAAAACTGTGTATTTATAAATAGTACTACTGACTAGTAACTTAGGATTTGTCGAACATATATGGCGATTCCAAAAGCCTATGTCATCAGGTTGGAACCAACATGGTCAATTGCCCTTATATAAGTCCTGTGTCATCAGGCCACAACCCTCACAACCCACGGAAAATTGAGGCGTTCAGTGAAGACGCATGACTTTTGTGGAGGCGTCCAAAGGTCCTATGACACCAGGTTTCCAGACCCAGACATCCTGTATTGCTCGATGTGTGAGCACAAATGACCTAGCCCTGTGGGTAGCTGTGTGGGTATGTCACTTGAGCCACATTTGCCTAACAATATATATCCATATATAGTGAAGTGAACTGGAAAATTCGGAAAATAGACCTGCTTACCCACAAAAAGGACGAACAACATGATTTCCGTTGTTCTTTCAAAACACAACTATACGTGAACCCAAAGAATCCGGCCAGTTTTCCCACGCTCCGCACGTTTCGCATATCGCTCCACGCACCACGCCGAGCGGCCAATCCCAGCTTCTCGCGGTGGGAGACCGTGACCACCAGCGGCAAATCCTGGCGAGGTTGACAGTCCAAAGCTGCACCAAACCATATGGGTTCGGATGGGTTCGGTTCACATCACCCCTTATAAAGACCAGTAGCCTCATTGCCAGCTTTCCATGCACACAAATTCATCCCCCTTTGTTCCAAATTTTGTCCATCCAATGCACGGCCTGGCACGTTGTCTCCACATGTGTCAGGTTGGCGCGATCATTCAAAGAGGCGTGTAGGTTTCTACCAGTTCATGCTTCCAGTATTGTTCAGCAAAACCATTGATATTGTACTCCAGAATGTGGTCTGGAGGATCCCCTTGCTCTAGCAACAAAGGTCTTCCAGGTCGCCTTGCCCACTGACACAGAATTACATCTTTGACAGCCAGGGTTCTGTCACAAATGAGGTCTGGGGCTGAGTTCCAGTTAACCGTTCATGTCTTGTGGGTTCCAAGGCTGGTGTTGAACCAACAAATATATATGAAACTGTTAACCAGTACAGAAGGAGGGAGGGGTTGAAACTTTGTATCACAGGGTCACCGGCTCACGTGAAGCCCGGCGCTATCAGCCGAATGGAAGCTGTGACGTCTATGCCGTGATCATCGTCTTCTTCGTCGGAATCGGTGTTTATTCAATTTTTGCTTATGATCTCCATGGGGGCTTCCTCAACCATTCTAAACAAGGTGTCATGTTTCAAGGAAAAAATCATGGAAGGGAGGGTTGATGAATAGTGGATTGTAGAGCCACCCTGAGGCTCCAGAGGATCCAGTTCCCATTGACGAGAAGGACAGCGAGGAGACCCAGGGCCAGGAGACTGAGGGGCAGGAGAAAGAGGCCTCGACATATCTCTGGCCTCATCAAATGCCCTGGTTCTGTCGCCGCTGTATGCTGCAACTGATGCCTGCCACATTTACCTCATGTCTTCGCCCCCGCAGCCTTCGCAAAACTCCAGTGGGGAAGCCGGTGGCGGCGTAGAGCTGAAGACGACAAGCCCAGCAGAGCAGAAGATGACAAGCCCAGCAGGCGCTTTTATGGAGATGCAAAGTCTGAGCTAGTGCTGAGGAGGGCGCTGAGGTTTTGCCATTTGGTCCTGGCCCAGAGCCAGTCCCAGAGGCGAAGCCAAGCGCAGTGCCAATCGCCAATCCAAAGCCAGTTCCAGAGCCCATGGTTCTGTATGAGGACACCTGTTTTTGGCATACCTTGAGATGCGTCACGCTCTCTGCCGTGTCCGCTACACGGCTGCAAGAAGCTGTCAAAGCTTCAATGCCAGCACTGTGCGAATCGTAATGCAACACTGGACTGTAAGGGCCAGCCGGCAGCTGGGTGTGTTCGGAGCTACAATACCACCCAGGTTTTGCTGCTCAGGTTCAGAAGAACTGGCACTGTCACCACCTCATCTTTGTCAAAGGCTTGCCCCTGCAGCCCTTTGCCAGTGCACTGATCAGAGCGGTACCGACTGCATCCCAAGAAGAACTTGTTAGGACAATGCTTGCCCCCAGGCTTCCACACCAGCGACCCTAGGCCGCACATTCCGCATCTCAGGTTTGGATCGTGCCCAAACCCCACTTTGATCTTCTTCACAGCAGGCTGCTGTGGCTCTTCTTCTTCGCCTGGTGAACCCGGCCCCAAAGCTGCAGGGACCTCTGCCATTGTATAGACCTGGGTTGCATGTGTTTTTCTTTTGGGGCAAGCATTATTATTGGTGTGTTTTTGAAATGGCTTTGTCTGTTCATCGTTTTTGTTTGTTTTTGTGGGGTTGCTGTGGTTTTTTGGTGGGTCACCTGCAACCAGCCCCCCCCTCCAAAAAATACACGAAAAACATAAAAGACAAAACACACACTAAGCCAAACAAAAAATACATGTATGTATGTATGTATGTATGTATGAAACCCTACCTGACATAGATCCTGACAGTCCATCTGGCAAAGAATCTGAGGTTGCGCCCATCCTACCTGACGAAAACTCTGACATTCCATCAGACATAGATCCTGGGGTACTACCTCAAAGAAAATCTGACATTCCACCTGGCATTAATCCTGACATAGGTTCTGATGGCATAAAACCTCACATTCTATCTGACACAAATTCTGGCCTTCTATGTCGCAAAAATTCTGACATTCTAACTGACATACACCCTGCCATTCTATCTGACATAAATTCCGTCCTTCTATCTGACATGCACTCTCACAGCCTGTTTGATATACATTCTGGCATTCTACCTGACATAGAATCCTCTCTATCTGACATGGATTCTCACACACTCTATCTAACATAGATTCTGACACTCTCTATCTGACATAGATTCTGACATTCTATCTGACATGGATTCTGACACTCCCTTTGACATAGATTCTGACACAGATTCTGACACACTCCATCTGACATAGATTCTGACACACTCTACCTGACATGGATTCTGACACACTTTATCTGACATGGACCCGACATAGCTTCAGACACACTCTATCTGACATGGATTCTGACACACTCTATCTGACATAGATTCTGACACACACTATCTGGCATGGATTCTGACACACTCTATCTGACATGGATGCTGACTTGCTATTTGACATGGATTCTGTGGTTCTGACACACTCTACCTGACATAGATTCTGACACACCCTGCCTGAAACAGATTCTGACACTCTCTACCTGACAGAGATTCTGGCACTCTCTACCTGATAAAGATTCTGACACACTCTATCTGACATAGCTTCTGACACTCTACCTGACATAGATTCTGACACCCTATCTGACATGGATACTATTATTTACTTGTGCTTTGGTGGTAAGAAAATTGGTTTTTGTGAGATTACAAAAGCAAAACAAATGCTTTGCATGACACTGGTCAGTAGCTGATCCGCTTGAAGGCTCCTGCAAAAGAGAACAGCAAACTTTGGTCAAAAATTCGAAGTTGGTTGCAAGCGGCTTCAACAAATTACCAAGAATGCTCAAAATTGCTCAAAGATACTCAGCTGCCCAAAACTGTTCAACATTGTTAATTTGTGTGTAGAAATGCTGGGAAAGAGCAGTGATGTGCAACCACATGCATGTTTGACTGGCCATAACTATGTTTATATGTTTGACATGCCAAACTTTTATGAAACATGCGTTTCTGATACTGGCTACCTACTACAATAAACCACTATGATCTAATTAATACTCCCCTTGTGGGATACACCTGTTACCTTTGCTGATTGACTCACGTTGCCAACCCTCTTCCATGTGGTCTTCAAACCAGTCGACACATCGGCTTTCCGCTCTTCCTTCAGGTATTGCTTTGTCACAATCCGCTCATGACTCTTGCAAAGCTCCAGACAGTGCAAAGCTCGTCCCTTTTTGTAGTGACAGAACCGACTGCAGCGTATCACTGCACCTGCTCGACGAATTTGCAGCCGTTCTTTCCAGAAACTCCTACAACATACAACTGAGGCTTCAGCCGTGGCAGCGGCTTTTTGCTGGCTTCTTTTGTCTTTTTTCTGGCGGCTCTCTCTTCAAACTCAGGCCAATAGACTCCAGTGCACTGGAAAGCGCTGTGATCTCCTTGAAGCCCTCTACCACGTTCTCTTTCAGGATCAGGATTGAGGCAGCCATTGTAGGGGCTCGATGAACTCCGCGATTGCAGTGAATATAGAGGACTTTGCCACCTACAGTAAGTCAGAGGGAGGACAACATCATCCAAGCACGCACAGACTCTGGTAAGCTTCCTCTGCTTGGCAATTGGGAGGAGCTCTGGCTCAAGTTCTGAGATCACTGGGCTCACTGGTCACCATGTGCTGTGCAATCAGGTAGGCAGTTTTTTGGAATGAGGGTGGTAAGCTATGGACATCAGGATCTCTTTTCCGCTTAAGACCACCACCATGTCCAACGCGCTGCGCTTGCCACGAAATCTGCACATCGATCTCCTGCACCTGCCACAACAATTTGGACTTTGAATCACAAAAACACGAAGTTTCCCCTGCACCAAGTCCGAAAATTCGGGGCCATTGTCCCATCCCTGGCCATTAGTCTTTCGGTGATTGTAGCTTGGTTTATGCTATGAATCGATGGCTTCTGGCGATTCTCTTTTCGCTTCTGGGGGTCTCTTTATGTCTCTTTCCAAGCACCGAAACGGAGGCCTGCTGGCTGTTATGCTGTGACACCATCCGTTCTGCAGCCAAACTAGAAGGACACCATCTGCAGCCAAACTAGAAGGACACCATCCGCCATCCGTTTCTCCGTTTCTGCCCGGATGATGCTGGCTGATGATGCTTGGTGGGTGGTGTAAAGTCTATGAGACCTGTGCAAACAAATGCAGGGCTGGATTTGTTTGAGTCTTCCTCCAGCCTCCCAGACTCGCCGCAGTTCGCCCACTATCGCACGCTATACAGTTGGCGTACCCAGATCGGTCGCAAGACCACAGCTAAGAAACGCAACCTTAGTGAGAGTGCGGAGCGCGTGGAGGGGACTCAATTTGGTGGATGATAATTTTGATACATTTACAAGGAAAACTTTAGACATACATACACACAAATAGAACATGATACACAGCGTAGAAGGAACACTATATAGGAGGAATGGTCAACAGTCAAATCTTCCCTAAGGACATTGCAATATTTCCACAAAAGAAACACCATTGATTCATTATGGTCAGTATGATAAGTAATGTTGATCCTCCCGCCTCCCTCATAGACATATACCAGGGCTTCCCTGCCGTATACCACTGCAAGGTGAACAACATGTCAAACTCCCAGAGATTCGGGACTGGCCTATTCACAGATCAGTGGAACATGGTTGCTTTAAAAGTGGGAGTGGGTCAAAACCGGGCTATATACTATTATATTACATACATACCACTATACATACCTGGGTTGACTGGGTTGACCAAAGAAAATGAACAGAAAGGACGACCTACAGGTCAACCTACCAGGGTCTCCGTTCGGATCTGGGTGTCCCATGTCGTCGCAAATTGGGTGCACCGGTGGCGAATTGGACCTGGTGTCAGCCTGGCTGAGATCGTGTGAAACAGTTGTACCAAAGCCCAGGCTATGCCAGGCAAACAAGGACTCAAACATATATACATGCCCAGGGCCGTCTAAGGGGTGTCTAATGATAGCAGCCAAAAAGAGGTGATTCGCGGTGTCCATTAACCGCCCAAAACAGGGGGCCCGAAAATACATCGTCTCCATGATGAAGACGAGATCCTTTCTTTGCATCTGTCCGATGAGATATTCTTTGGTCAAAAATGCCCAGGACGTACAGACCGACACGGCTGCAACTGATGTCGCAAGTTGTGAAAGGCATGTATTTCTATGGTAGATGTCGCATCGAAACTGTCATGTAGATTAGATGAAAGAAGGCACGTGTTCATGTTTCCTTGGTATGTCCTACCGGAGATTACCCTGAAAATTCTTTGGATGGGAGCTCACCTCGCAGATCCGTTCATGTGTCTTTTGGCCCGGTTTCGTCGTTGGGGGGGAGTGAAGAAACATGTTGCCAAGCAGTCCAAGCCCTTTTTAGTTGTGTGCGTACGTTTTCCAATGGAGATATAGACCCCAACTTGGTCTTCCAAAACTTCGGTGCTTATTTGGTTCACCTGCTTTCTATAGAGCACCCCTCCTGCTTCTCTTGCACTACTAACCATTGGAAGACAAAACAAAAGATCAATCTCTTTGATGAAAACAACTTGCCTTCACATGTCCAATACATCTTATTTACTGGGGATGAACCCATGGGATCTACTTGTCTATCTATTTTCGGGGGTCTATATGCTACCTTCAGACCATGGGATCGACTTCAGACTTCAGTCTGATCGATCGAGGCCGACCCGGTCCTCTGGTGCCGACCTGGGTCGGAAGACCCGGTCCCCTGGGCGGCCCCCGCAAACCCAGCAACCAGCGGCCCAGGCGGACCGGCGGCACGGTCCTGGCGGCTTGAGGGAGAGTGAGGGGTGGGTCCCGAGTCGGTGGGTTTGGGTGAAAAGACCAACAAAGGTTGAAGAACCCGGTACCCCATGTAGTGTCCTTTTTCAGGATACTGCAAAGCCTCTGGTATACCTACCCGATCGGGTTTTGGTCTATGTTTCCGTCGGAATCACCCTTCAGAATGCCGGATCCAAGTCCGAATTCGTCCTTCGGGCCCCAGACATGGAAGGAAGAAGTGATGAAGGGATTCTTTCATGAATCACTCATGCACCTGGCTGAGACACAGAGTTTTTTCGCCAGTTGGGGATCGATCAGGCTTTCGTACGTCGTTCCATTTAGTATGGTCTTTCACTGGGGCCGACAGCAGGACATCCGAGCGCAGGACTGCTGGGTCCTGGACCCTTAGGGGATCTGAATGAAGCTTGGCCATATGCGCAAACCGTAGGTCTAAGGTCGGTATCACTCGACCGATTCGCTCGAGACCTGGCATGGATGCACCCCCGGAAGAAGTTCGCCAAGTGAGCCAGTTGGATTGGCGGCGCCCAGGTTGGCAAAGTGTTATGCTCTGTATAGGTGGTGCCCAAATGCCAGGCCAACTACCCACTGTCAAAGTTGCACTCACCAACCCTTTCATCAAACTACGCCAATGACCAACGAGTTCGAGTTCTTTTAATGATTGTTCTCATGAGGGCGGAGCCAAACTCGGCCTGTCGTTCAGTCTCAAACGCTGCTAAGTCCAGCGCGCTGCAAGGGACATATGCTTCCTCTGCTCCTGTCGATGGTCAACACGATGGGACAAAAAAACAAGCGCTGAAGTCAATGTTGCTGAGAAACACTTAGCTTAGGGTATATTCCAACAAAAACTGGGCCCAGAGGATGATGACTATGTTTCTTATTGTTAAAAACCTTTCCCTAAAACTTACCCTAAAGTAGTGAGAATCGTTTACCGGCGGCTATACTGGTAACGGGACACGCCCTGCACTCAATAGGAATTCAGATTGGTGAGTTGAGTTCCTTCGGGCTCCTTTGGAGGTCTGTGAAGTAAATGTTGCTCCGAAAGACAGTATTGTGCTCCTTGCTGGGTCAAGCTCCAGTGCTTGGCGCTGGGTCATGCTCTTCAGTTATGAGTTTGTGCAAACTGAAGAAGATTGCTGCACGCATCCTGTTTCTTTTTTTTCAGGAAGCCACATGGCAACAGCTTGGTTCCCAATGTCCAAAAAGACTGCAGCGATCGAGCTTGGACCCTGGATTGGCTCCCCTTCCCCTCCTGCCGAAGTGTCGAGATCTTGAGAAACCCATCGACGCACAACCCTCCATGTGACCTGTGCGACACCTCCCTGCAGGTAGGTGTCGGGAGGCATTTCAGTGAACTGTATGATGGTATCCCGGTATCCCACCATCAGGGTGAAGGTATTTCAACAAATGCGAATACTCCAACACCTTGCTCTGAACCCCCTGCGCATTTGCACAGCAGTCGGATTTAGATCCCTAGCACTTAGTTTCTGCCTGTGACAGCCTGTGGAAGCTGGATCTACAGGACAGGGAAACATTGGGTATATCCCATTGCCAATAACAGTCGATTATGATGGTTAGCAAAGGATTTTCTCAACAAACAATGTGATATTTGTTTACAGGTTGGAAAATTGATACGCCCCTTAAATCTATACATACCAGGGTTAGTAGTTGGCATGCAAAACTTTACCACATCAGCATTCATACCCTTTGCGGAAGCAGGGAAACCTGAAGCCTGGTTCTCTGCGTGTTTGGGCAAAGGACAGTGATCAGTGTCCCTTTCTTTCAATCCAATTTTTCAAGGATGGTGGCATCAACAGCCACTCTCGCTCCCTCCAAACCAGGGTATTTTCAAGGATCCAGTGGATGGGAAGGAGATCTAGAAGAAGAAATCAACGCCGCCCCCAAACACAACACACCCTTCACACCCTTCACACACACACACACGTGCACCGGTGCACTGCACCCAAGAAAATCCATCCCTTTAATGCATCTGTTGGACACCCACTTCTACTTGGAAACCAAAAGGAACCAATCCATAGTCCAATCCATTTCTTACTTCCAAAATCTTCCAAATCTCTCCACCCATCTCTGAACCGCGCATCTGCCTCGAAGCTTGGAATACCCACATCATCAAAGCTCCAGCTGGCCTGGCACCATACTCTGGTGTGTAGCTCAAACAGGGAGACCTCCCAGGTCGAGCGAACCCCTAGACGGAGGCCAATAGCGCTCAGGAAATCAACCCAAAGCACGTGAAATCCGGGGCACTTGAAATCCCAAGGGATTTAACACGAAACCAGGATCCACCAGAAAGCGGGGGCAGAATTTAAGATGTCAAGGTCCTGGATTCCTGGATGAGGGGTCAGGGATGCGTTTGGGGTAGACACAGGTCACCGCTGTTCGCACGAACTTCCTGCTTCGGCTTCGTCCGAGACGAGTCTGAAACAATGCTCTGTCTTGTGACAGAAACAATGCTGCTAAACAAGACATCCGCTTCAAATCTTGTCGGACATCGAGAACTGGGCTCTACAGAATACTATATTAGGTCTGGAGGGTCGTGGATTCGCTTATCACACCTCCTAACAGCACGAACGTATCGTTGGTCCCAACAACCGGGCTCGGTCACCACCCTCAGTCGCCGGAGTTCGCCGGGATCAGAAAAGACGAAGAACACGCGAAACTTGCGGACCCTCCGAGACCGGGGTGGGTGCCATTGTCGGGTCCAGTCATACCGAACCTGAGGAGGTACGACTGGAGGTGTAGGGATAGTGGTATATGTACTTTACATGACGTACCTAGTTTTAGTATAATGTTTGGACCATCTTCCACCCAATGCCAAGGGGATTCACCCCAACTGATGCACCATGGGACCCACCCGAGAAAATCAACATCACCCGAGAACCCGCCCGGGCGCGGCACGCGTGCGGTGCATATGCGCGGCACCTGTGGCCGGTGAGGACTCGCCACCTGGCGTGTTTCTTCCAGAGGAAACGATGAAGTTCACATGGTGTTTTTGGAACCCCAAAATATGATCACGTGATATATGTCTCCCATATGGAAAGAACAAACACATGACACAAGCTAGTTTAGTATGTTGCACCTTCTAGATTTGTAAGAAACAACGATGCTGTCACAAAGAATACAGCTATCAAAAAGAGATCATCAATTTGGAATGTGCTTTTTTTTGCGGTAAATGATGTGAGAGTCCTGCGGCACCAAATAATACGTCACCAACCCGGTTGAGTTCGGAACTGCGACCGCATAAGTACAATATATATAGTACAATCGGCACATGTTGATATAGTGGACGTTCTTATTTAGATTTATTTCAGTGTGGTCTATACAATCTATTTCAAAGTGACAATTGGCACACAGGGCGTGTGCATGCCGCATTTTGATCTAACTGGAGACTATTTTAAAGCACCTATTCCAGAATGTGGCAACGCTCCTTTTGGAAAAACGATGCAGTGCAAAAAGACCGTTCGTTTGCACAGCCCCCAGACAGCACTGCAAAGGCAAAAAAGGTAGCGCCACAAAAACAATGTCTGCTGTGATGTGTTACGTTACAGCAAATCCACAAACTCCACCTGGTTTTCACAAGTTCTCCACCTGGTCCACTCGATCCATCAGCAGTTCTCGACCCGCACACTGGTTACCGGAACATTCCCGGCCACAAATCTGTACAAACAGGGTCTCCTCAACCATGTTTCCTCCCATCTTTGCCAATTGGCGGAACAACAAGACGCAAATCCCCACACCTTTGAGATCCTTTCGCCCATCATTAACTGATTGAAACACGGAACTTCAATTGGCCTCAAAATAAATACCTTGCTCACCAACAACTTAAAACCCAGCCGGTTCTACCGCCTCTTCTATGTTGTTTTGTGCCGGAAACCACATCCAAACTCACGATTTTCTTGCTTTCTGATCTCCATCAGTGTGCCGAGATTGCCTGGCAAACACTTTGTACCGGGAAACCTTTGTCGTTGAGAAAATATGCCTCTGCAGGATTCATTTGTGCCAATCTAGAGGTTTCTTGCATTCATGCTACCCTAGGGATCCAAGTACCTTCTCAGAAGGTGTTTGGGGTGGCTGTGGAGGGTCCAAGTGCCTTCTGAGAATGTACTTGGATCCCTAGGGCTACAATGTTTGCTTCAATCTTCCCACCCTGCCGCAAGCTCTTGGTGCCCGTTTTGAGACACCCGACCTGCCCCATCTGCGCCAACTGCGTGCAGCACTCGGTGGCTGAAACAGGTGTTCGCGCTGCCACCGACTGCGGATGGGGGCAAGGAAGGCGACCGGATCGTTCCATGCAATCGATGGTAAAAGGTACTGATAGAGGCCCTTATTGAGGTACTGATAGAGGCTATTTGGTCGAACTGGTGGGGGAGCCAAAAGTGAATCTGACGAGGTTTGAGGGGCTGAGTCGTCTCTGTTTGTGCTGGTGAATTGCTTTCGCTGGGTTTGTCTCGCTCTGAGACGTTGAAAATATCCACAAGTGCCCAGTCCACTTGTTCATCCTCAATTCATTCTTCAAGCAAGTCAGCTGCGCACCCATCCCCATATGCCAACGGCACGTCAGCTGCGTGTTTGCTGGTCAACGGGCGGTGGCGTCGCTGAGACTTCTTGTTGCCTATACACATCTAGTTTGTGACACACAATGCGGCACAGCTGAAGCTCGGGAAAACAAGCCACGTTACCACGCCTTGAAGTTCAAGCGGATCACCTGGACGCAGTGTGGCAGCATCATCGCCTGCTTCGGTTCTGTTCGTCGAGGCGAGTTTCGAGGCCATGGCAGGAGGAGTTGGAGGCAGGAAAACCGAAAGACGGAGAGGAAGAAGAAGTCCATAGAAGTCCTTTTGGTGACCGTGCTTCCTGCAGAAGAAGAACAAGAAGAAGTCCTGTAGGGCCCAAGCTCAGTTTCCTGAAGAGACAAATGGGTCCCTTATTCTCCATCTGTGCTTTGTCTTCTTGGAGGGTGCCCTATCTGGGCGAAACACCCTCCATCCTCAAAAAGGCCCAAAGTGCAGCTTGTTAGAATCAAAGGTTCCAGCCAAGACTCTGAGTGGGAGTAGGTTTAGCGAACCTAAAATGAACTTCACCATGAAACTCCGCAAAAAATGAACTTCACGAGGGCTCACTTGTTTCAACCTCACCTGGCAGGTGGGGAAGCTCCACATCGAAAGAATGGGAAGCTCCACATCCACCTTTCGACTGTCCCGGTCGGTTGAACGGTGGACACGGTGGACACGACACGGTGGACACCGGGCACCCGGTGCGGAGAAGAAGCATGAGAATTGGAGGCCTCCCCATGGAGATGGCCGCTGTCCATTGGTGTAAATCATGTGTATATATGACAACAAGGGTTTGTTCATTCCAAAGGTCGAGTTTTGCTGTATCCGTGCTACCATTTCGGCCCCTCCTCCCCTACGCCCTACCCGCCACTGGTTTTACGCTAAGCACGATCACCAAGGCGCAAAAGCACGGGAAGAGCGGAAAGCTGCAGGTTCGCCTGTCTTCGTCCAGGCTGGGCTTTCGGAGTTGGTTTCTCAGATTAAAAGAGAGAACCATCCGACCTCTGCGTGTCCTGTCTGGAGATCCCGGATAGATCCAGGTAGTGGGCTGGGTAGTCCAGACAGGACACCCAAACGGCTCGGATGGTCCTGTTTTGAGGCCAGAAGAGAATTTGACATGTCGGAGGCGGACTTGGGACTTCTTTGACTCTTGGGAATCAAAGATTTGGGAAGATTAGGAAGTAGTGGACCTCAGTCACCTGAGTCACTTTTTGGGAAACTCTGCTCTGCATGCAAGTGTTGGGGTATGGCTACTGTAACTTCGCACCTGCGCAAGAATGTGCCGTGTATCAACCCCCTAGACCGAATTAGACCGAGTTTGGGAGTGGATTCAATTGCGAAAAAGTTGTAGCTCCAACCCCAGTACCCTGGGACAAATGGAATGGATGTCCTTTATAGCAAACTTAAATTAAAGACATCACGTCACCATCGTTCAGGCAATCTTAAAAGTTTGATCTCATATATCTCAAAGCTGCTCACCTGTGATCGAACACATTGGTACCTTATGAACCCTTACCCTACAAATCATCAAAGACCTCATTTTACTGGAGTTGGTATACAAGAACGATGTTTAACAGTATTTCAGGAGGCAGAAGAAGACTACTGTAGGTTTTACAGGGTCTTTGGACTTGCAGGGTTATGTTTTTGAAACCTGTGCGCAACCCCATCGGCTGGTCTGCCTGAGTCCTCCCCCACCACCGAATGTTGGCGCCAAACCTTCGAGCTCACTCAACTTGCTTGGGATATTCACACCTGGCGATCAAGGTTGTTGGTCTTTCACAACACACGAGCTTGAACATGAAAGTTCAGGAAAAGTCTTTCTTCCCTAGGGCTCCAGTTGTACCTTCTGAGGTTGGGTGGGGCTGGGGTGGGTGCCTGGGGTCTAAGTACCTTCTGAGGAGGTACGACTGGGGCCCTAGGGCTTTGGTAGATCCATAGAAGTATGGAACAAAACAAAAGCATCGATCTTCTGCATGGGAAAATCAGCTGATTTTTGGTGCGACGGTGGTCCAAGTGCGGGCATATGGGTGCTTGGGCAGAAGCTACGTAGCCACGGTGAGGGGTCGCGGAACGACCGGTCGTGCGGTCGTTCGGACCTCCGTCACGCCCGGTGACGTACGTCGCCCGGTCGATACGACCCACAAGACCCATGAATCCCCTGGAGGCCGAACGAACCGGGCGCCAAAATCATGCGTCATCGATCTCCACAAACCCAGTTTTGAACAATGCAGTCGTTCCATAGCAGCAGTGGCAGTAATTATCATATAATTGTAGTACTCTTGATTCATCAAAGCATACCTCATACCCCGTCAAACTTTGATTGTAAGACCTCTTCCGGCTTGGGGGTGTTGAACTCTAGGCCCTTGAGTCTACATGGTTTGGGGCTCCTGGCCTACCTCTGTTTCGATCATGGTTGAGGTGGGTGCAGGGGGGGTCGAATACCACCGGTCACCTGAGGAGATGGGACTAAAAGAAACCACGAACGAAGCTTGGTGGTTCTGATGGACACCCACTCGTTCCGGCGGTCCAACGACTCTGGCGTTGCTCCCTCTCGGATCAGAGCGGAGGCTTTCACCGCCTGATAGGACCCTGAAACCGCAAGTGGTTGGAATGTTGCTTGGATAGACATTCAGACTAAGACACATATATAGATACTTATATAGAATCAACTTGGTTAGAAAGACACCCATAGAGACACTTGTTTATTAGAAAGACACTAAAACATATACTGAATATAACTAGTCACGTCGCTTAAAAAAAGGATTGATAGAGGTCAGAAGTACGAAGATGATAGAGGTCCTGCTTTTGGTCGGATCCCATCCGCCATTTCCTGGAAATAGCGGTCCGACTTGACCAGGTGATCTATCTGGAAACACCTCACAGACTGTCTCCGCATGTCTCCGCATGCCTTCCCAGTCAACAGAAAAACCATGGGTGGTGATATACTGTGCGATGTTTTCGTCGGAAGAAAAAACTCAAACACCTGCCAACGATGACGCACCTTTTGAGAAAAACAGTGGAGTGCCTTTACCTTTTGCTTGTTCACTTGGGGGTTTGTTACCCCTCTATCAATCATCCCGCAAAAAGCACTGTGGAAAGGCCATCGAACACCTGCCCAACTGAAAATTGACGTTAACCAAACTGTCTACCCCTTTGGGTTTGCGTGGGGTGTTTCTAAATGTCCCTCAAATGCCGGTGACCTGCAGGTGATCCGGGTTCTTCCTGGCCTGGGAGGCAACTATAGTAAGGGGTTGGGGGGAACTCCGGTCGCTGCGAATCTGCCTGTTTCGAACTACGAACGAACTGGGCTACCCCCAAGTTCCACAGCTTAACCATGATTCCAAAGGTCCTGGCACCAGCGGCTTTGGCAGCAGGTTGGGAGGTCAAAAGCACGGTCGATGTGAAGACCGACCGCTGAACTTCTGTCCCCTTGGCCTTCTCGACACTGCATCACCTGCGTCAACGTCAAGGATTCCGGGGCGGGGTTGGGATGACACCCAGATGATGAAGTTCTTGCGCAGCCGAGCAGCTTTGATGCTGGATTTGGAGTATAACAGTTACAAGTAGTTCCCGGGCAAGCCGGCGGCGGAAGTTTCCAAAAGAATAAACCTATAGGAAATGGGCATGTGGCAGGCTGGTTCGCCGAGCTGCGATGTTCTTTGACAAAACAAGTTGGAACCGACCAATGGAGCGAAAGCCAAGCAACCACCGTCAACTGTCAGTTCTCATCTTCCAGCTCCCCAGATGCTCCGCGTACTGCAGTTGTACTACACAGTCGCCAGTTCTCAGCTTCTAGCTGCGCAGATTGCTCCGCGCACTAAAGTTGTACTACAAAGTCGCCAGTTCTCAGCTT